GATAGCTCTCGAACACCCAAAACAAGGGTAATAGCGCTATAAAAGAAATCCAAACTTTTGGTCAGCACTTCCGGGCAACTTAGAAATTGTTCCCGGTGAGATGCTCGGTTCCAACCAGACAAATCGTATAAGCCGAGAACCTATCGCGGATTCTAAATCGGTATGGAATCAGGTTAAAATCGCAACAGGCAAAACGAAAGCCGACTAGTCATCGCATAGCCTCAATCCGAAAGTAAACTTAGGTCTTGCCCTAAACCCAGCACACTGGTCGCTAACGTCTCAAGGCATGAATCGAGATCCTAAAAGCATGTCTCTTCGTCTATATCTAAACGCTCACTCGATTTACTAAACATCCTAAAACGGGCAAACGAACAAGGCGATACACTAAGGGAAAAAGGAATGCGAGACGACAACTCGCGAACCTCCCTCAATAACAACTCATAATCTTCCCGCTACATTCATACGAATAAAAACACGCTCTTAAAAACGCAAACTGATTTTTAATAAAGCCGGAAAAGCGGCAGGGACTCAGAGCCGCACACGGCCAGTCCAAAAACTATAACGGCCACGCTCGGCCAGACCAAACGGCCTACGAGGCTAGTCTCAAGGCCGGCAAAGGTCCAGATGCCATCGACATCAATATGCTCGATAATTCCTACACAACATATAACTAGACCGTAAAGGTCTCGCTAGGAAACAGGTCATACGAACCTTAACTCCGAAACGAACTACGAAAGGCTTGATCCCCTCAAAAGGATACGTAGGCAGCCTTCACAAGGCGCAGCCCTAATCTTAAACGCTTTCCGCTCCCTGGAGAGTGGAAAGATCACTTTCAACGGACCTTTCCGACCATTAATTCCGCCTAACTTAACTAAAACTGGTTAACCACTCGCAAGAACCTTACGCTAAAGGCTCAAGATTCTTACGAGCTGGGGGGCTAACTGTTGGGGTCAAAANGGAAAGATCACTTTCAACGGACCTTTCCGACCATTAATTCCGCCTAACTTAACTAAAACTGGTTAACCACTCGCAAGAACCTTACGCTAAAGGCTCAAGATTCTTACGAGCTGGGGGGCTAACTGTTGGGGTCAAAATCGGTACGACGGAATCAACGGCCGAAACTTCCCGCAGAAATATAAAAGGAATCGTTTTGTAAGACCCGAAGAATCGTTTTATAAAACTCGAGGATCGTTTTATAAAACTCGAGGACCGTTTTATAAAACTCAAGAAGCCGTTTTATAAAACTCGAAGATCGTTTTATTAAACTCGAGAAGCCGTTTTATAAAACTCGAAGATCGTTTTATAAAACTCAAGGGTCGTTTTATAAAACTCGAGAATCGTTTTATAAAACTCGAGGATCATTTTATAAAACTCGAGAAGCCATTTTATAAAACTCGAAGATCGTTTTATAAAACTCGAGGATCGTTTTATAAAACTCGAGGATCGTTTTATTTTCTCGAGAAGCCGTTTTATAAAACTCGAGAGGCTGTTTTATAAAACTCGAAGATCGTTTTATAAAACTCGAGAAGCCGTTTAATAAAATTCGAAGATCGTTTTTATAAAACTCGAGAAGCCGTTTTATAAAACTCAAAGATCGTTTTATAAAACTCGAGAAGCTGTTTTATAAAACTCGAAGATCGTTTTATAAAACTCGAAGAATCGTTTTATAAAACTCGAGAATCGTTTTATAAAACTCGAAGAATCATTTTGTAAAACTCGAAGAATCGTTTTATAAAACTCGAGAATCGTTTTATAAAACTCGAAGAATCATTTTATAAAACTCGAGAATCGTTTTATAAAACTCGAAGAATCGTTTTATAAAACCCGAAGAATCGTTTTACAAAACTCGAGAATCGTTTTATAAAACTCGAAGAATCGTTTTATAAAACTCGAAGAATCGTTTTACGAAACCGCAAAAAACCGAAACAGCCGTAAAACGCGAACTAGTCACGACTAGTTCGCCCACGGGCGAACTAAGTCGAGCCGGCTTAGTTCGCTGATGGGCGAACTAGGAGGCACTCGACTAGTTCTCCCATCGGCAAACTAAGCCGGTCGACTAGTTCGCCCATCGGCGAACTAAGCCGGCCCGGCTTAGTTCGCCGATGGGCGAACTAGGCGGCACTCTACTAGTTCGCCGATGGGCGAACTAGTTCATCTCGACTAGTTCGCCCATTGGCGAACTAGTCCCGTCCCGGCTAGATCGCCATTGAGCGAACTAAGAGGTGCTGACTTTGCCGCACTGGTTCTTTTCGCCTAGTTCGCCATATGGCGACCTAGCCAAGCTGAACTAGCTCGCCGTACGTCGAGCCGACCATCCCGAGCCTCGATCTCCCACATCCTTGATTCAAGGCATATGTCCTTCGACACAATCGTATTCCGAATCACGGTCAAAATGTCTCCTGTTTCGTCTCGATCCGTCCTATCGTTCGAGTTTTACGATAAAACCGTAAAACTCCGTTTTCCCGAAAAGAACTCGAAGAAATCGTATAAAACGGTAACGGTTAATCAAAACACCGAACGTCGCCTAAACTATATGATCTATCCGAGATTCTTCGTTAAGATTATAAAAAATGCGCTTTTAATAAAAAAAGTCGAGAGAATCGTAAAAAAACAGCATCGGATCAGGAAACGGTCTCGTTAAAGTCGTAAAACGGTTTTTATCGTAAAACGGCCCGAAAGGTCCTATAACACGATAAAAACCCATCTCGCGACGTTAACGAAATCAAACCCGAAGATACGATAACGCTTTGACGGTCTACTCGCAGACGGAAGATAAAAGGCAAGTTTGAAGATAAATAGAAGATTTCCGCAGAAGAAAAGGAAGGATCGACAGATATGGAAAGTTCCTGAAATATTCGGTTTCGAGCAAAATGGAAAGACTAAAA